TATTCAATCGCCTGCGAGCGGGAAAGTTCAATGTATATACGATCGGCGATTGCTTGACCGTTTGCATACGGCGGCCCGGTCGGTTATTTTCTTTACCTTCATTGCATGCAGGACATCTCATTACAAGTCACATCGACCGGGCGAGTCAGTCGAACGGTCCAATGCGCTCCTCTTCGGCGGACAATTGGGTCACGCCACCGATCGGGAAAGCCAGAGCTCCCAGCATAATTCCCCGATCCGTCCAACTTCTTTCCACTATCGTACTCACTCGTGCCTCGAGGGCACAATAGTGTGGGGGCTGGGATGAAAGGAATTAGGCCCGTCGCTCGGGAAAACCCCGACCGTGGAGGCTTATTCATTTTCAAAATTTAGGCCCGTCGCTCGGGAAAACCCCGACCGTGGAGGCTTATTCATTTTCAAAATTTCGACAAGGCCTGGAGATCGGGTAAACCCGATCGAGTAGGTCAGCTAATCGTCGAAATCTCAGATGCACGATCGGGCCTTAAGGCCACAAGGTCGGGTGTCGAACATGTCGACTGGTGCAAGACCGGGCTAATAGGCCGTAAGGTCGAGTGCTAAGGGTCGGCGCACGCATTAACTAGAAATAGAAGTGCGAATAAGAAGGAAAAGAAACGACCAACACAACTTTGACAAAAAACGGATTTCATTGAAATTTCAAAGAGTGCCCGGTACAAACTCGGGACCGGGCTCCCGATCAGCGTCACTTTACAAAAAAAGAAGTAAAACCTATTTCTACTTCTTCACTTCCTTGGCTTCGCCCTTCTTGGAAGCCTCCGCCTCGCTCGGGACAGCCGCCGTAGGCCAGCTCGGGTCGACCGCTTTCTCCTTCGGGGCGAACGGAGAGGGACCGGGGTCAGCAAGGTCCGGAGGGAGTGCAGATAGAACAAGCTGGAGGTCATCTCCTTCAAGAGCTTGCCCCAGTCGTTTCTGGGCCCTCTCGAGCATTTTCCTCTGGCCGGCTTTGAAGGCCCACCGACCGAAGGATAGGATCAGATCCTCCCTGATCTTCGTCCGTCGGGCCGCCGTGAGGAATGCCGAGCCCGTTTTGTCGTCCTTGAAAGCCGACTGGGCCAGCTCGTCCGGGTTCTCCAACCAGGCTTTCAACTCTGTATTTTCCCCGATCGCCCGTTGGGCGACCCTTTCCGCTAGGACCCGATCATCCTCGCTCTTCTTCAGGTCCTTCTGGACCTTCTCCAGCTCGGCCTGGATGTCCTTGACCTCTTGAAGGCGTCGGGCGGCCGTCTTCTTGTGGCGGTCGGCTTCCTCGGCCAGCATGGCCTGACCGTGCAGAAGCTGGGCCGCTCGGGAGATCTGCAATGCAAAAGGCAATCAGAGTTAGCCCGGTCAGAAACACTTGTGTGAAAAATTAAAAGAACAAGGTGCTTACCTCGGCCAGGTCATGGCCGATCCTTTCGGCCACCTGAGTTGGGGTCATCTTCCCCAGATCTTCTCTGACTGGCCCGGCGTTGCCGATACGGGCCAGTATGGACGACTCGTCCTTGCTTCCCCCGGTTGAAGGGCTCGGCTACGCTGCTCCCTGCGGCGTTTCATGCCGCCAACCTCGGTCACTCCCTTTTCGGGCACTTTCTCCTTTCCCCGGGCGACCTCCACCTGGGTGACCAAGACATCGGTCGGTTCGACCACGAAGCCCTCGGCCGTCGTGATGGTCGAGGCCCCGATGGGTCGGGCTGTGGGGACCTCCTTCTGCCCGGCCGGCTTGGCCTTTGGTTTCTTCTTGCCGCCCAGTGAGATCTTGGCGGGCGGGGGAAGAGAGGCGTCATCATCTCCGAACTCTTCCATGGCTGCAAATAAAGAAGAAAGTTAGGTCGAGAAATTAAGCAACGTTCGAGGAGTTGCGATCGGGAGGAGTTAGCTAATGTTAGACCTTTACCCTCCCGTTTGCCCCGAGCGGGCATCCTTGCAACCGTCACGCCCCGAGGCTCGGGCTTATACTTCTCGGGCACGACATATACGGGCTCGGGCAGGTCGGCCGCCTCCAAAGACTCGGGTGTCCTGAAGATTCGGTACTCGTAGATCTCCCCGGATATCTTGGTGGCCGCGTCCTTGAGGGCCTGGGTCTCGACTGGGACAACTTGCTTCCTGAAACGTTGACTCCAGACCCTCTCAACCGGGAGAATCCACGGTTCGTACTTCACGGAGAACAACCGGTTCTTCCATCCTCGGTTGTTCCCGGGCAGACCTTCGATCGAGCACATGTCTGCCCGGGACTGGGTCATCAGATACCCACCCCCGTATGAGGCCGCTAACACCTTCACCTGGTAGATGAAGTTGAAGAGCTCCATCGTGCAGGCCAGCTGGTGTCGACCGCAGATCTGCGGGAAGCACGCGATCATCCGATGCGCGTTCGGGCAAATTGACCGGGTACGACCTGGTAGTAGCCCAGGAATGCGGTAAGAAGGCTTGAGAAGGGGAAAGTGATCGGGGCCAGTCATAATGCATCCCGACCCACTTTCCCCGGTGCCGCTCGATGATGTTTCCGAGCTGCCTGCTGGTGTCGAACTCGACCCGACCGGCTAGTGTTGCGGCGATTCTGCTCGCTTCTCCTTTTGTCAGCAAGCTCATCTGGGACTCGACGGACTCGCTGTTGAGGAATTCGAAGCCGTCCCCGGCCGGTGCTGCCGGCCCGGCTGGGTCTTCCTCGACCGCCTCCGCGTCCTCTGTCCGGTTGTCCTCTTGGGAATTTCGTCCCTTGACGCCTTGACCCCCAATTACCCTCGTAGGCGTTCACTTGACGCCTTCAGCCGGGGAATTTCGTCCGCTCGTGGACGTTTCTCCGCTCCTCGCGCTCGAGCTCCCCGACCCGCTGGAGCTCGACCCCGACGTCCCCGATGAGCTTGATGACCCTTCTGGCTCGGGGGTTCGGTCGGGGATTTGCTGTGGTCGTTGCTCGACCTCTGGAGAATAGGACATGATGTCCACCTCCTCGCTGCTTTGCTCGACCGTGTCGTCGTAGTCTGCAACCGAGACGTTCTGGCTATCCGAATCTGACATCTTTTCTACCTAAAGGTCGGTCGTGGTTAGTACAGGACTCAGGATGTTAAGTCGGAGTTAGTCCTATCCTACTCCTACACAAGGCTAGAAATAAAAGACAAAGCAGGGAAGTAGAAAGCTTACCGATCGCGAAGACTTGGATAGAGCTTGAGGATGTTCTGCTCGGTTGATCTGCTGATGATTCACTCGGGACTCTCTGAGGGTACCGGTTGATTCAGAAGATTGAGGAAAGTTCAAATGAGGGCCTCAAAGGCCTATTTATAGGAGAGCATTTGGGCGGGAAACCAATCCACTTGCGCGATGTGACCCGCACTGATTCCGAGGCGACCGTTGCAATCGCCGAGGCCGGCAGTCGCCGACACGTGGCAAGAGAAGGAATGACAGCTGGCCGGTCGGTTGGGTAGCCGACGGTTGGGCTTCTTCATCCCGTCCCGTTTTTACCCGGACGGTCAAAAAGGCCCGGGCTGGGGGGCTCTTGGTAGGGAATATCCCGACCGACATAATTTTACCCCGGTTGGTGTGCCTTTGTTTTTGTCTTCTTGTCTTTGCAGGTAACAGGTCGGGTTTCTTGTGAAGAACCCGGTCGGACCCCGACCGGGAATTGCCCGAGCGGAAGTGTCGACCACCGAGTGGTAGCCCTTTGGCGAGAGAGCTGACAAGAGACACGTGGCGGCTCCACACGCTGACAGGCAGGGCACCCGGGACGGCGACACGTGGTGGCTGCGTGGGAAGCATGCCGAACGGCCGGATTTGTGTCTCCGGCGCCGCGGCTATAAATACCCGCGATAGCTACAGTGTGGGGGACTTTTGGACGATCGATAGGTTGTTGTTAGAGAATCCCGACCGCAGTCAGTCGGCACTCAGAGCAACCAAGTAGATTGTACTTAGGGCCTTCACCGTGATCAATAAAAGTCATTTACTTACTTTAATTGGTCTCGTATTTATTTAATTACTGCGTACGTGGCAATTAGCAGTATCACATACGCTTTTTGTATCTTGTGTTACGCGTTTTTGTGTCTTAGGTTATGCAATTCTGCATCTTAAAATTATTGATTTTGTACCTGAACTAAAGTAAATATAAAACATGTGTATGCGTCTTGTGTTATGTGTTTTTGTGTCTCATGTTCTGCAATTTTGTACCTTAAAGCGTATGGATTCAGTAGATGAAATAGATTAGTAGTTGTGTAACACAACATATTGTGTCTTATTTTACTAATTTATTTCTGACATTATGAAATTATGTGGCTATAAGACATATACTATCTACATAAATCAGATTTGAGAATAAAAATATATAATATGTGTATGTGTCTTGTGTTGTGAATTTTGTGTCTCGTGTTATGAAATTCTGTACCTTAAGAGTATTGATTTTGTACCTAGAATAAATTAAAATTTGTGTTGAAACATGAGAAATAGAAAATTATCGAATCTGTTAAAGCTTAAATATCAAAACAATGTCGTTTTGCTCTAGGGTCCACAATGTTATGTGGACCCTGGTCCACGATATACATTGCCAAGGACAATTGTTATACCAATTGTTATAAATTGCTTCATTTCTTGCTGTTTGTCTTCAGAATTCGTTTCTCTATATTCACAATTTTTTAACTCTATATTCACAATTTTAGAACCTTATATTCACAATTTTAGAACTGAATATTCACAATTTTAGATCTCAATATATAAAATTACATAACTCAATATTCACTATTGCAGAACTCTATATTCACAATTTTAAAACAGAATATTCACAATTTTAGATCTCAATATACAAAATTACATAACTCAATATTCACAAGATTAGAGTTTGAATTTCATCAATCAGTTACAACCAACGGAGATTACAGATTATTAAAGATAAGTGATGAGAGACTCTCCTATCTAATAGAGAAGCTCAAGTCAACTAAATCTAAACCACATAAAAGAACCATATAATATAAAGAATAATAACACTCACTAACACACCCCCCTCAAGCACAAGATTGGTGCGAAACAACATTGAGCTTGTCTCGAAGGAGCGTGAACCTGGGCCCTGTGAGCGGTTTGGTGAAGATGTCTACCAGCTGGTTTTTGGTCGACACAAAGTTGACCACGAAGTCTCCTGAGGCAACCTTATCTCGAACAAAATGGTAATCAATCTCGATGTGCTTCGTCCAGGCATGAAACACGGGATTTGCACATAGATAAGTTGCTCCAAGGTTGTCACACCAGAGAGTGGCCGGGTGAGAGGAGTGCAGACCTAACTCTCGGAGTAAAGAGACAACCCACGTGACTTCTGCGGAGACATCGGCTAGAGCTTTATATTCTGCTTCTGTGGACGACCGTGCTACTGTTCGCTGTTTTCTGGATAGCCATGAAATCAGGTTGGTGCCGAGAAAGACAGCATATCCGCTTGTGCTCTTCCTGTCGATCGGACATCCTGCCCAGTCTGAGTCTGAGAATGCCTGAATAATCGTGGATATGGAAGGAGCAATACGCAAGTCGTAGCTGATAGTACCCTTTATATAGCGCAACACTCGTTTAGCTAAACCCCAGTGATCATCTGTAGGCGCATGCATAAACTGACATAAGCGATTCACGAAATAGGACAAGTCTGGCCTTGTGATCGTCAAATACTGTAGAGCCCCAACAATGCGCATGTACTGAGTGGGGTTCTCATACGGAGTTGTTGCAGAAGACACTAGTGACGTGACAGCGGCAGGTGTGGTAAGCGGCTTACAGTCAAGCATCCCGGCACGATTGAGTAGGTCCGTCATGTACCGCCTCTGAGACAGAATTAAGCCACCATCTACTTACATGGTTTCAATCCCCAAAAAGAATCCCAGCTTTCCAAGATCACGAATCTTGAAGGTGGTGGCAAGCCGTTGAAGCAAGGTATATCAACGCAGCATCATTTCCCATCATGATGATGTCATCTACATAAACAAGTAGAAACACTCGTGATGTACCCGATGTGTAGTGAAACAGGGATACATCAGTCTTGGATGATTCAAACCCTGCAAGAATTAATAAGTTGTGAAGCCTCTTAAATCATGCCTGCTTTAACCCATAAAGAGAGCGCTACAGGTGGCAGACGTGATCCGGATGTGTTGGATCTTCATAACCTGGCGGTTGCTTCATGTAAACAGTCTCGGCTAAGTGTCCATTCAATAAAGCATTATGGACATCTAACTGGCGCATCGTCCAGTTAGAAGAGATAGCAAGAGAGAACAACAGTCGAACGGTGGTCGGTTTAACCACCGGACTATAAGTATCAAAAAAATCTTCGCCTGCAACCTGGTTGAACCCTTTGGCAACTAGGCAAGCTTTATAGCGCTCGATTGAGCCATCAGTTGTGCGCTTGGTGCGAAACACCCACTTGCAGCCAATGATGTTTATGTGTGGTTCTGGTGCAACCAGACGCCAAATGTTGTTGTGAAGGAGCGCATTAAACTCCTGATCCATGACTTCACGCCACTGTGGATGCCCTACAGCCTGGGAATAACAAGTCGGATCAGTAGTTATATTCAGAGCATGAAACTGCTCTTCCGTGCCCCTAGTCTGATGACGAAGGCGCATAACATGTCCTCGGTCCTAAGGCTCGGTACGCCGTCGCTTAGCCCTGACACGAGGTGGTCTGGTAATGGCTAAGGGAGCAGGTTCACGCGCTAACGGCATAGGTTCAGATTTCGAGGACACCGGGGTGCTGCTAGGCCGTGGGACCATCGGGGCAAGTCGTGGGACTATGGGCCCAGACGCCCACGGTGTTGAATCTGGAGGTGTAGACGGGACGGGTGTCTCCATGGCAAACGGGAACACCGTCTCGTCAAACCGGACATGACGACAGATATAAACTTTCCCAATTACACGATCCATGCATCTATATCCCCTAAAGGACGGGGGGTAACCTAAGAAGACACAGGGTGCCAAGCGGTATTCTATCTTATGGCGATTGTAAGGCCTTAGATAGGGATAACACCGGCACCCAAAAATTCGAAGAAACGTGTATGGAGGAGACACTTTTTATAGACGTGAGTAAGGACTGTCAAAGTTCAACACTGGAGTTGGTAAGTAATTTATTAGACATGTAGCGGTTTCGAAGGCAAAATCCCAATATTCCATTGCTACCGACCCTTCGGCGAGTAAAGCAAGACCCGTTTCGACAATGTGTCTGTTACGGCGCTCAACTCGTCCATTTTGTTCATGTGTGTAGGCACATGACTGTCGGTGATTAATACCCAGTGTTTGGAACATAGTGTGTAATTTTTGGTACTCACCCCCTAGATCAGATTGTATACTTTTGATAGAGCGCGAAAATTGTCGCTCTACCAACACCTGGAACAACTCAAAACTTTTATAAACGTCTGATTTTACCCGTAACGGATAAAACCAGCAGAATCGAGAATAGTCGTCTACAAACAATAGAAAATAGTGAAAACCAGTACTAGAAACTACCGGAGTCGGGCCCCATACATCGGTAAAGATTAAATCTAACACATTTGTACTGGAATTATGAACTCTATCTAATTTAAAACGTGACGACTTGCCGAGGTGACAAGCCGTGCAAGACTCCAAAGACTTTTGTTTATTTGGTGAAACTGGACAGTTCTTGAGAATACGGTTCTGAATGACACCGTGCGGGTGACCTAGCCTGCGATGCCAAATATCTGAAGTGGCCCGGGAACTGACAAACGCAAATTGAGTGTGAGAAAGCGGAAGCTTGTACAATCCCCCAGAGGTTGGCCCTTTAAGCAGAGTTGCCCTGGTTTTGGAATCCTTCACAATAAAACAGTCGTTATGAAATTCAAAATAAACGATGTTTTCTTTAGTGAATTTATTAACAGAAAGTAACGGGACGGACAAACTCGGGACATGTAACACATTAGACAAACTTAGAGACTTTGACACGGACGAGATCGATGCATGACCGATACGTGAGATAGTAAAACCTGCGCCGTTCCCGACTCGTAGGACATCGGGGTCGGTGTATTCATCTGAGCGCGACATCATGCTTGCGTCCGGCGTGGCATGGGCGGTGGCACCAGTATCGGGATACCACCTGTCCGACGAAGCTGCCGACGGCGTAGCAGGTAGATCGCCGGCAGTAGCAACGTGGGCTTCGGCAGGCGGCTGCGTAGTGTAACGTTTAAAACAATAGACCGCCGTGTGTCCCTGAGCACGGCAAATCTGACATCTTGGAGCGCCACGTCCGCTCCGGCCTCCTCTGCCACGGCCATTGCGCCCATTACCGCCACGGCCACCGCGCCATTGCTGTCCATTGCCGGAATGTCGACCGCCATCGCCGTTCGAACCTCGGCCTCGGCCCACATACATGGCCGTATGATGACCGCTGCTATCGCCAACTGAGGAGTACTCATCGGAGATGATGAACTCCTGGGCTTGAAGGAAATCCGCCAGTTGAGGTAGCGAGACAGTGTTGTTGGTAGCGGTCAGTGATGCCGCCATGACACGAAGATCCTGCCGCAAACCTCGCAGCACATACAGAATCTGCTCGGAGGAGGAGAGCGGTCGACCGGCTTGTGGTAATGCCTCCACGAGCACCTCTGCACGCCCCAAGTACTCAGCGGTGGATAGATTCCTTTGCCTCAGCGACTGGAATTGGCCAAGAAGGCTGAGGCACCGCGCTTGCGTAGAGGAGCCGAGCGCCGTGGTGATCGACGTCCACACCTCCGCTGCAGTCTCCCGGCCGACGGCTAGATGAAGCACCTCGTCGGACATGGAGGAGATCATCATCGACAAGATCGACTGGTCTTGGAGCACCCAGGCCTTGTGCGCTGGGTTGGGAGTCATGCCGGTCGCTGGCGTCGCACCGGAGCCGGAGTCTCCGGTCGTAGCAGCTGCAATCGTTGTCGGTGGACACGGCGTGGAGCCGTTCACGTACCCCAGCAGATCCTGTCCTCTCAGAAACGGGATTAGCTGAGTCCTCCAAAAGAGGAAGTTGCGGCTGTTTAGTTTCATTGAAACATGGTGATGCGCGCCGGCAAGAGGGTTGGCGATTGCCGGTGAGGGAGAGCCGTCGCTGAGACTGTGCGCTCAGAAGATTGCGACATATCGTTGATGGGTTTCCGGTTGGGATTGGGTGGGTAAGGTGGAGAGAGAAAAAGTGATCGTAACCTATCTGATACCAGATTAGAGTTTGAATTTCATCAATCAGTTACAACCAACGGAGATTACAGATTATTAAAGATAAGTGACGAGAGACTCTCCTATCTAATAGAGAAGCTCAAGTCAACTAAATCTAAACCACATAAAAGAACCATATAATATAAAGAATAATAACACTCACTAACACACAATTGTAGAACTCTATATTCACAATTTTTGAACTCTATATTCACAATTATATCAACAATATAACACAAATTTTGAATCTATATTCACAATTTTTGAACACTATATTCACAAAAATAAAATAAAAAAATCATTGACTGAGAAAACGGGCACCATTATTCTAAACGCGCGTTTTAAAATTGGGTCTAACTTGCAAGGTGGACCCGGTCCATGGCATAATAATTGGATACATACCAGGCCTAATAATCAAGAGTAAATACCCAAAATGGTCCCTCGACTATACCTAAATTCACAAATTAGTCCTTGACTTTCAATTTTAACCAATTAAGTCCTTAACTTTGCAATTTTAACACAATTTGGTCCTCCGTCTATTTGACCGTTTGTTGACTGTGATTTTTGAGGATATATATGTAATTTCATGGTCCATCGTCGATTTTTTAAGGTTCCGGTTGCATTTTCAGAACGCACTGTTACATTTGAATCCACCGCCGAAAGCAGATTGCCAAATCCTGTCGCCTTTCTTCGTCCTCCCTTTGGATTCAATGTAGTTGAGTTCGTACCAGAGTGAAGAAGACAACGTGTTTCTGAACCGGTGCAGCGTCATCCTGGAGACCTCCATGTGCTCCGATGAGAGCTGTAGGTTCTTCTGGAGATCGTCGATGACGGCGCGGGCGCGGGCGTTAATGCAGAAGTGTTCGAAGGACCAAATCGTGTTAAAATTGCAAAGTTAAAGACTTAATTGATTAAAATTGAAAGTCGATGACCAATTTGTGAATTTAGCTATAATTGAGGGATCATTTTGGGTATTTACTCAATAATCAACGTAGCCCTACTGAGAATAGAATTAAAGTTAGATATTGCAAGGCTCCAGAAATTTATAAGACATGCAGCCCACTGTCCAGTAGAACAGCCCAAACCGAAGATGAAATTTCAAGAGTTGTATTAAAAAAAAGTTAAAATTATGTATGATCTTTATAAGATGAGTATATTCTTGTCTACAAAAGATAAAATATTTTTTCATTCTCAAAGGCTTTCACACTCTGACCTAACAAGATGAGTATATTCTTGTGCAAGCGAAAGATTGTTTGATATATATGCCCTAAGAGCTAAGCAATAAAAAATAAAATTGGAAGAATATTAACCTAATACTATTATGATTAAAGGTTTATTAGTAAATAAAATTTAAATTTTTGTTGATTGTATTGGGATATATATGTTTAAGATTAAATGCTTAAAGAAGGGTGGAAAATAAAGTTGAACGTGTTTCTCTCTCAGTAAAGTTTGTTAATTCTTCCTAAAGGCTGAACCCCAACCCTAAGGGCCCCTCACACCCCGGAGTAAGGTTTGTTAATTAGTTGTGTAAAATGGGGTTTAATTAAACACTTTTCTTTTCACCCTTAAATAACAATGTGAGAGAATAAAAGTAAATTTCTACATTAAGAACTCTTCAACTTCTAGCATGATTAATGAAAGTAAACTTCCAAACAGGGGCAGAGCTACGTTAATTTGGGGGTAGGGAGCCCCGGTCCCCCACCAATTTTTTTTTTTAATAAATAAATAAATAAATAAATAAATATATATATATATATATATATATATATATATATATATATATATGTATGATCAAATGAAAAAGCTTCTACAGGTACAAAATGTGCACAAATCTTGATTGTAGATGCAGTCCAATTCAACAGCTCAGATTGAATACTAATTAAAAAACGCGCGGTGACATATTAGTAATTTTGAGTAAGTTGGTTAGATTTGTATTCGAGTGTACATTTTTCTTTTTTTCAAGTGCATATTTTTCTTCTTCGAGTGCATCTGTTTTGTTTCAATACTTAGGTTCTCCTTTGAGTGCACATCTTTGTGCCTTTGAGTGCAAATTTTTTACTTTCAAGTGCACGTTTTGTAGCCTTCATGTGCATGCTTTCATTTCTAAGAGTGCATAATTAATATCTTCGAATTTTTCCTTTTAGTGTCCTTTTTTTTTCTCCCTTGCTTTCTAGTGATCCTCTTTATGTCTTCAAGTGCTCAATTTAATGCCTACAACTGTATATGTGTTTTACTATTGTGTAAAATTTTTTTAAAAAAAAAATACTTAGCATTCAAGTGAACTATTTTTTTTCTTCAGTGCAGATTTTTTGCCTTCAAGTGCACATTTTTATGCCTTGAAGTGCATGTTTCTTTGCCTTCAAGTACACAATTCTGGGCAATATTTGTTATATCTTGTGCATTCTTTTTAACAACATATAACTAAATTTCTAATGAAATTTGTGAGATTTACAAACGATTTGTATGGATAATTGGCTTAATAACACTTAAGTTGCATAACCTCCATTTTTGGTACCATAAATTGCATCATAGCACATCTATTTGCCTTCGAATGCAAATTTTTTGCCTTTAAGTGCACATTTTTATACATTCAAGTGCATGGTTTTGAACTTTCAACTGCACATTTCGCATACAATTGATTTTAAGAAAATCATTAATCATAGTGCAAATCATAGTTCACCGCATTTTCGCATTGGAAGTGTTGTGCGCACCTGATCCTAAACACACACACACACACACACACACACACACACACACATATATATATATATATATATATATATATATATATATATATTTGTATATGTATATGTATATATTAATATAATAGGGATAAAATACACTTTTTGTCACCCTCCTTTTAAAAAAAAAATTATTATGTTTATTTAGAAACTTAAAATATATATTAAGGTTCAAATCTTTAAATAAAAATAAATAAATCAAAGTTTTCAAAAATAATAATAATAATAATAATTAAATTCACCATTTTTTATTTGCTTATTTCTTTTATCAAAATTTTAATAATAGAGGGTATTAAGTATCCAATTTAATTTAAAAAATTCTAAATTAGAGATATATGTTTTATTTTTATTAGTTACGCTGATTAGTTAATTAGTGATTTATTGTAAGTTTTTATTATTTATTTACAATTTTAAAATGTACATTTGCTAGTTTAAATGATTAGCTTTGAAATTGGAAAAAATTAATATTGATTCTTTAATTCGTGATTTTGATTTTAGTCTTCATCCCTCAAATTTTAAAATATTAAGTTAACTAGTAAAATAAATATCAGTTAAATATGAAAAATTTTGGTTTTTTTTTTTTGAAATACTCATAATCCTTTACAATGTAGTATCTGTTCTATATTTTCTCAAACATTTTCAGTTTAAAAAATCTAAGTCCCACGGCCCCCCGGCCACCGGGGTTCAAACCTATGACCATCCATTTGGATGGATAACCGGGATATCATCACACTACATGATAGTTGGCAAGTGATAATATATATTTAAATAAATACAAATATGTATTATTATTATTATTATTATTATTATTATTATATTTTATGTTGTGTGAAAAAAATTCTAAAGTAATGATTGAAACCCCTGCCGATCGTACTCATATAATTATGAATTTCATACATTATTGCACATAATATAATTAGAAATCATTATTAATAATAATCACGTACAATAATGTATGGTATATATAATGATATGGTATGGTTGATACTAATGCCTGTTGGAAAAATATCATAAAATGGCATGGAAAGTGGCTATTTTGTGGTACAAATATATGTAGGGTCCACTTTTAATTTGGGGCAGGTCAAAGTGGCTTCTGGTTCTTCATAGTAAGATGAAGAAATTGATATATTGTACGTTCGAAACTGATAATGGGTGAATGAGAAATTAATTCTCAACGTACAACCATTTGAGTTGGAAAATGAAGGTGGAAAAACTTTTAAGTAGTCTTTGTCCCACATTAGTTTGGGAAGTGGGTTTGCACCACTATATATACAAGAACCTTTTTAAGGCATATTGAAGTGTATAGCATAGAAAAGTTATCTAGGCTACAATGTTCTTAGCATCTTTGGGAGGTAGCAAGTAAGATTTTAAGGAGAAACTGTTTTGTTCGACTCGTACTAATAACAACCTACCATTTTACCTTGCTTGTGCTTGTTAATTTTTTTTATAGAAATAATTCTTTTTCTGCTTGTGCTTGTTAATTTTTTTTTAGAAATAATTCTTTTTCGTAAGATTATTTTGATAACAATGTGCGACTAACATTGTAAATTTTCTCTACAACTTCGGTCCCATTTTAATTTTTCTAGCTCCACCCTGCTTCCGAATTACCAAGTTTTCAACTTGGTTGCGTGATTATATTTTTTATGCAACAAGAATGAGAAGGATATACTCAATAACTTGAAAAATATCTTTGATTGCAAGGTTTGATTGTGTTTGTAGGATTCTTATATTATGTTTTCCTTAGTGGTTGAAGCACTATTTATAGATGTAGCTTGTGTTGTTCCTTTGCAAGCAACCAATGCGGAGAATCACCACTTGAAGAGAATAGGTCCTAATTTTTTGGAGAGTTAAATCCATTTTTGGTCCTGAGCATTGGACACATTTAATCCATATTTATTAATTTTGCCACATTTAGTTCAGACATAATAAAAGTTGAACAATTTTAGTCCACCGTTACAATTAACGTTAAGGCTCCGTGAAATAGATGGGCAATTTTGTCCTTTCATATGTAATTCTTCATCAGCCTCCAATTTTAAAATTCACCAGTGATGTTCTTCACCACAGACCCAAGCAAAATATAATATTTTATATTTCTTCTAAACTATTGAGTTCAAAGTGTAAACAACACCATCAATGGCATCAACAGTGCAATGATCTTCTCAGGGAACCTCTGTATCTCCTCAGCATCACGACTCACGAGCCACCCGCAACTTGGTTTTTGCAATGGTCGGCTCACGAAGAGCCCGCAAAACCTGAGATCTCCTTATAAGATAAGCCCTAAAGCCCATTTGTATTACCAAGGCTGCATCTTGCAGTGACAACTCCTTTCTATTCCCCTTGTTCTTCTCCGCTCTCCACCCAAATGTCTATCACCATATTCACAAAAGACAAAACATTCATCTAACATTGTTCACCTAGATTGTCCAAGACTGCACAACTATTACTAGGCAAAAAAAAATCCTAAATTCAATCTCCAATCAGACCAACATTATAGTACGAAAATCACATCTTTTTCAATGACAAGTTCAAGTATCATTATAGTACACACTAGCAGAATTACACTAAACTGAAAGCAAAAATTATTCATCTATTAAAAAAAAATGAAAATTTAAGAACTTTATGAATCAGATTCGTGTACAAAAATAACCAAATGGATCATTGGATGAGTCATAATCAAGAAAATAAGCATAGAACTGTAAATCTGTAATGAGGGAAGTCATGATAATGCAGACCTGTCTTAGGACGATGGCGCCTTGATCAGAAGGCTCTTCAATCTTCGCCGTGGATTCTAGGGCGAAATGGGTATTGGAAATGGCAGAGGGTAATGCTGCCCTCTCCTCCCAAGCAGGGATTAGGTGCGAGTAGTTGGACTGAAGGGGTTCCCTCTGAGAAAATGCTCCGCCTTGCGAGAACAGCGCCGCCGCTGCCGGGATTGACTGGTGTGGGTGGTTCAAGAAGAACTCATCTCTACTCTCTCCTCCATTACCGCCGTCGCCGATCCAACCAACCATTCTTGAGGTCGCCTGATTTGAGGCCGAAAAAAGCGCATGTTGCTGGGAGGAGTGGTGGGGGATCACTTGGTGGGCTCAGCGGGGACGGATAAATAGTAGGCCATTCCATATTTTCCTCCGCAACTTTCAAAACTCCAAACTTCTCTGCAATTCCGTACGGGAAAACTCCGGCGATCCGAGAAAAAAAAATGAAGACGACGACTTTGGGAGGTCTTCGGGTTCGGATTTTTGGTTCTCAGTGAGCCCGAGTAGCCATTCAAAGTTGAGAGATAAGAGAGAGTAGCGGCAGTTGTGCGTGAGAATTTGAGAAGGGGAATGAACAGTGATGAGTGGTGGCTTGAAAGGACAAAAATGTCCTTCTATTTCACGGACCCTTAACGTCAATTGTGATTGTGGATTAAAATTGTCCAATTTTTATTAAGTCTGGATTAAATATGACAAAATAAATAAATGCGGACTAAATGTGTCCAACGCGTAATAAATGTAGGACCAAAAATGGATTTAACTCTTTTTTGGATCACATAAGAGAATTAGTTTTCCGATGTAATATAATATAATGTTCATGTTTGGTAACATAGTTAATTTATCAGTCAATTTTAATTTATTTGACTACTATTAGTTGTTTGACTTGATTAAACAGTTAATATGAATGTTTGATTAATTAACTTTTATAATAACTACTAGGACTATGTGGTCCAATGGTACCCGGGTTAGACTTCTATTTAGAAGGTTGTGAGTTTAAGCCTCAGTGGAGGCGTTATTAGCTCTTTGTGTTTCAGTAGGTTTATAAAGTATACGAACAGATACTACAATGTAATAGAGCTAGTAGCATTCAAAAAAACTTTTGTAATAACTTATTGCTTCAAAATGCTAAAATTCAAAAAATTGTTCAAAGTAATTTTTTCGATAAGCTTTTTGAGAAAATTATTTTGCATGTAATCAGCTATCAACTAACAGTTAGTCTACCAAACATTTTTCCACAATCAACTAATGTTATCAACTAGTTAAACCCACTAACTCAATCAGCTAACAACTATTTACCAATTACCCCAATACCAACAGTCAGCTATTTACCAATTACCCCAATACCAACAATCAGCTATTTACCAATTACCCCCAATACCTTTAGTCAGTATAATACGTCATTCCACATAGGCCCTGTTTGGTAAAAAATTGGCCTATAGGCCAATTTTGGCTTATTTGACCACTATTAATTGTTTGAGTTAGTTAAAATATCAATATAAATGTTTGGTTAATTAGTTTTTTGCAACTCCAAAAGGCTAAAATTCAAAAAGCTACTCCAAGTAACTTTTTCAATTAGCTTTTTGAGAAAAGAAATTATACCAAACAGCTAACATCTAATTTACCAAACACTTTTCTACAATCAGCTAATGTTATCAACTATTTATACCCTCTAATTAACACAATCAGCTAACAACTAACAGCTATCAGCTAACAGCCATTTTACCAAACAGGGCCATAATCTTTTACGACAATCATTACTATATTATTAGAACAATGTCGGTTGGATATAATGAGCGATTTCGATTAGCATACCATAAGGATAATAGAGATCCTTTATAAACTAACTTCTCTTATAAAATCGACAACTATCATGTAACGTGATGACATCAATCACACCCCAATTATCATTTTAAATAGATAATCATATATTTAAACCCCGATGGTAGGAGTTTAAATTCTTTAATTTAGGCTAAAAATATTTGTGAACACATACTATCTTATAAAGAATCATTAATATTTCAAAAAAAAAAATCTCATAAAATCAATATATTTCGATTAGGATGCATAATCTTTATTAGAGCTAATGTCATTTGGAGTCCTCCAAGTATAATGATTTTGTCACGTTTAATTTAGTCCTAAACTTTCAAGTTAATTACGCGTGGTCCTTCTATTTTCAAATTTTAACCACCCATGGTCCTTCCGTTACTTTTAGTCGCTTAGTTCTTTGGACAGTGTAAAGTAAGGGCAAAATCTTCGTTTTAGAAGGACTACGACTGATTAAAATTTAAAAATTGAAAGATCACGACTAGTTAAAATTTTAAAATTGAAAGACCACAGATAGTTAACTTGTAAAATTGAAAGACAACGAGATTAACTTGAAAGTTCAGAACTAAATATGACAAAATTACTATAGTATACTCGGGGGACCCATATTGCATTAACTCATTTTATTACCTAGGTTGCAAATGTTTTAGCTGATAAATCTTAGATATCTATCTAAAAAAATGAATGGATAGAGATTAGGCTTCGAAAAAAAAAGAAGACAGTGATACTTTTGCGAATAAGTAGGGATTTATATTGTTTCAAAAAGTAGGAATTTATGTGTGTGTGTGTGTATATATATATATATATATATATATATATATGGTAGGGAATATCCCGACCGACATAGCTCTACCCCGAGTGGTGTGTCTTTGTTTCTGTCTTCTTGTTTTTGCAGGTAACAGGTCGGGCTTCATGTGAAGAACTCGGTCGGGGTCCGACCGGGAGTTGCCCGAGCGATAGTGTCGACCACCGAGCGGTAGCCCTTTCGCGAGAGAGCTGACAAATGACACGTGGCGGCTCTTTACGACGACAGATAGGGCACCCGGGAGGATGACACGTGGTGGCTACGTGGAGAGCATGCCGAACGACCGGATTTGTGTCTCCGGCGCAGCGGCTATAAATACCCACAGTAGCTACAGTGTAGGGGACTTTTTGGACGATCGATAGGTTGTTACTAGAGAATCCCGACCGCAGTCAGTCGGCACTCAGAGCAACCAAGTAGATTGTACTTAGGGTCTTTACCGCGATCAATAAAGATATTTACTTGCTTTAATTGGTCTCGGGTTTATTTAATTATTGCTTACGTAGAATTAGCAGTATCATTTTGGCGCCGTCCGTGGGGAACCGTGCGAAAAAGCAACGTCTTGACGAGCACTCGGTTCCTTTCCAACGATGTATCCGTGGGCATACAACAATTTCGCTGACGACCAGGTGGATGCAGCGAGTTCATCCGATCACCACGCTACCCAACAGCAAGGTCAAACGGTGGATTTGAATCTTAATCTCTCACCACCACATCCATCCAACACATACCCGGCTGCCCAACAGCCGGTGAACTACATTCAACCGGGATACCCGACACCCGGTCAGTCGTACCCGCAGCAGCCGGCGATGTATCCCGGCCAATATCCGTACCCGGTCCCACCTCCGCCGTACGGGTACTGGCCTGGCCAACCGATGTACTACACTCCCCCGGTTGGATATCCACCATATACGCCTGCATACACGGCTCCAGCCGCCGCCCCTCCAGTTCACCCGACCGCACAGGTAGAGCCGCAGCATCAGTCCGCTTCCCGGGCTCGACGCTCGGCTCGTTCGCGGTTGGGGTCGGGGGGTGCTGATTCGATGGAGGCACCATGGCAGGCCCAGCAAGCGGCCGAGGTTCCCGCCCAAGCGGAGGATCCCGAAGAAGTTGCCCGAGCGACAGCTTTCAATCGTCTTCGATCGGAGATGCGTCAGCGTTTGGGACCCCAAGACCCGAACCGCCAGCAAGAAGACGTACAGATGCAGGAGGCCAGCCAGGAGGCTTCATCCGGGTATAGCGGGTCGAGATCTCACCGACGACGACGCGCTCGGGATGCAGCTCAAGCTGCCCAAGCCGCCGAGCTCAACGAGACCCGAGGATTGCTCTACAACCTCCAGGCGGAGTTTGCGCAGTTCAGAAACGCGCACCCTGCAACACCTCCGGTCGACCAATCGACCTTGCACCAGACGCCTTTTACGGCGGCGGTGATGGCTCAGCCCTACCCGCTTGATTTAAAGGTCTCTGGAGAGAAAAGTTATGATGGTCGGACGGACCCCGAGGTCCATGTTAATGACTTTTACAGCAGTATGATGCTGAAGGGCGTATCAGACGCCGTAATGTGTAGGGCTTTTTATTCCACGCTTACCGGTCGAGCGGCGGAATGGTTCCGAACCTTGCAGCCGGGCTCGATCGACAAGTTTGACACCTTGGCGATCAAGTTTGTGAGGAAGTTCGTCACTTCCAAGGTGGTGAGGAAGCCCTATATGTATCTAGAGAAGGCCAAGCAGCTTGAAGGGGAGAGCTTGACCGACTTCTTCGTCAAATGGAAGGCGGCGGTCGGGGAGGTCGAGCCCATGGATGATGCGACCGCCACCCATATGCTTCACATCTCTCTCCGGGCGGGTTATCTGTACCAGGACTTAATTCTACACCCCCCGGCCACGTATGAGGAGGCCCTTCGAAGGGTCACAGATTATGCCAACGCCGGTGAAGCGAATGCCGTAAAGCGCTCGCAGGAGGTCGGGTCTTCGTCCCGTAAACCGGCCGGCTGGGCGGAACACCGATCGGGCGATGACCATCCCCGATCCCGCACCAGGCCTGGTGAGTTTACGACCTTGAACCGATCCGCAGCGGAGGCCATGCAGTACGCTCAGTCCTGCAATCTCATCAAACTCCCCCACCCCGATCGAGACGGCCCCGACAAGAGTAAGCATTGCGCTTACCACCGATGTGCCGGGCATGATACTGAAGAGTGTACTCACTTGCGCCAACTGTTGGAGGATTTTCTCAATCTTGGGAAGTTGGACAAGTGTGTGGGGAGGAGGGAAGATCCCAAGAGGAACACCGATCGGAGAGATCACCGGCGTTCCCATCACCGTTCCGATCGTTCTGATCGTGAGGGACGCTCCGATCGGTCAGGTCAGGACCGAAGAGACAATCGTCGTGATGGCCGACGGGACCCTGACCCTCCGTCTAGCAGCCGACCAGCAGGAAAGCCGACCATCCACGTCATTTTCGGTGGATTGGAAGACGCTTCCCGACCGCGGAGTAATTGCCCGGTCGCCATAGTGGATTCCCGGGAGACCGGGAAGAGGCAAAAGATGGAGCCCATAACCTTTACCCTTGAAGATCAACCTAGCAGCGGTGACCATGGCATGGAGGCGCTCGTGGTCACGATTGATGTGAAAGGGACGGATGTCTA